GCGATGTTTTGCGAATACTCCAGACCGACGTCGCCCGAGTCGAACTCGCTGAACTTGATGGTCCGCGCATACGCCTTACTGGGCTTGTCTCTGGGCCAGCTGATCTCCCACTGCACAAACGAGTCAGCGCTGCCATTCAGCGTTGCCTCCAGGTCCCCGTCCGACACTACGCGCTTGATGGCGATCTGGAGTTCATTTACAGAGATGTCCCGGCGCTGGTCCACGGGCGCTGTCCATGTGACTTCGTGGTGCAGGAACGGCGCGGGGCCAGGCGCTGGTTAGCCTGGTATGAGGCGACCGTGGCAAGGTCGGCCTGTGCGCGCTTCTTGTACCGATGGAACTCGAGCGCGCGCGGTTTATCTCCGGCCCGCAGGTAGTGGGCGGCAGACGTGTGGCATGTGAGATCTGCAGCTCCAGCTGCTCCGTCATGGCACCAAAGTCAACGGCAACCCGGGCAAGGTTTTGGAGCTGCGGGTCGTCGAGAAATACCGCGCGGTTGGCCCGGGCGTAGAGGAGGACTGTGCAGGCGTGGAAACCGCTGCAGTGCGTTTGGGTGCTGGTGACGTGACGCCCTTGGCTGGGGTTTGGCTGGCTGATGCAGCTACGCGGGGAGCACTGGTCACTGGCGGCTCAGGCGCCGGCTGCGTGGCCAGGTCAGGTGTTTTGGGCTTTCTAGGCCCAGGCGCTGGCAGCACCGGTGATTCAGGTGCTTTTGGTGTGGGCGACTCAGGAGCTGTAGGCTTGGGCGGCATAGCAAACCCCTTGGGCAATGGCTGGCCTGAGCGTACGCACTTTGCCGCCTCCTGCACTGCCTTCATCTGCATAAGCATCCCACGGGCTATGTCCATATCGCCCTGTCGTTTGGCTGTCAGTGCGGCACTCTTGAGCTCTGCTGTCCGCTCGTTTAGGGCTTCCAGCAAAGCACTGTTGTCAGGAGCCTTGGCAGGCTTGGCGGTTTCTTCTGGCATCGCCGCACCGCCATACTGCGACAGCTCAGCTAATAGCCCTGGGTCATTCATATCCTCCTCGGTGACCTCGACACTGTCGAGTATTTTGTCGTCCTCGTCGAACGCCATCGACGCAGCTGCATTTTGTGATGGCTGTCGTGCTGGTGTTTTACGGGCAGGGGGGCTCGACAGGCCCATTCGCTGCGCAGAGCCGCAAGCTCGCCCAGCAGCTCCGGGTCGTTCAAGTCAGCGGCATCAACGTCATCGCCGTCGTCGTTGTCGAGATCCAGTCCAGCTATGCCAGAAAGGTCGCTAGATGTGTCGGCGAGGGGCTCAGTGGCGGCAGCGGCGAGCGCTGGGTGTTGCTGACCGTGGACTGCGCGAATTGCGGGCAGAGCCGCGGGCACGGCCTGATATAAGATACATGGTACGGGTGCTCGAGAGTAGGTTTAGGAAACAAAAAAAAAAAAGAAAGGTGACGTGCCAAGCAACTGCTATTGCAGCAGAGTCATGGGTTAAACTAATCGGCAGTGATCTGGTGATTGCTTATCGATGCCAAATTCAATCGATAAGCCCGCACGCCAGCTGCTAAACTCGGTGCTTCGGGCTTGCACCATGTGTGCACCTCTCAGTGACGCGCCAATAAATTGGCCGCTTGCTATTTTCCCCACGGCCACTAGAAGTCTGCTGCCTTGCAGGCATCCCGAATCGAGGCTGGCCTTTCACATTCGGTGGCAAGCGGAGATGCCCCTCTGCCAGGGCTTGATTAATAGTCGGCCGTCGAAAGGAAAAAGCGACAACATCAAAATATCCTCACTCCGAACCAATTTATGCGTGCAATGCAGCAAATTAACGCACTCTGTTTTGTTGTCATCCAGCGACGATATCTGCGCAATCTTCAAAGGCCAAAATGTCCGTTGAGACAGAAAAGTTATTGTGACCCTTGGCGCTGCAGTGGCGGATTCTCAAAGAGGAAGGAACATGACGCATATAAATGCCCCCGCCCGGCCTTTACCCAAAAGCAATTTTCCGTAGAGTCACTTTCCTCGCCCAACCGCTCCCTCCTCACTAAATCTTTTTCACAGTCTTTTTGTTGTTACACGCCTGAGGTACTCCTTTCCTGGCCCCTTAAAAAGACTCTGCCGTCATCCAATTCTTTTCTCTCTTTTGTTTGTTTCACTTCTCTCCATTCACTTTTTTTAGCACCCTCAATTGAATATACACCCAATTTGGTTCCGCCTAATTTTAAAACAACGACCGATACCTGCTATATACCGACACATAAAATGCCTTTAGTATCACCAATGCCGGCCATGAAGCTGCGTTCAGCACCTGTGGCCGAGCTCAGCGGATTCGTGGCCAGCACTAGCAACACCACCTCGAGGAAGTCGCCAAAGAAGCAGCCTCCCTTTGCGTACTCTGCACGTCGTGCACCTATTGTCAACAGTGTCAAAGTCGGCAACAACAGATCAGCACACGCGCGTGCTGGAGCTGCTGCGCGCAGCCCTCACCGCCTCTCCTGAGACTGAGAAGCCCGCCGAGACGGCAGGCAAAGACAAGCGCCAGAAGCTTTTTGAGCTTCGGACAGCATTTATGGGTGTTGCGCGAGCTGCAGATGCCGCAGGCCGACAGCATCATGTCTGTGAACGAGCTGCTGCAGAACCGCTCCGAGCTGGGCCTGCTGGACCTGGCCAGCGTATCCGGGTTCTGCCACAGCGAGCTCGACGACTCAGCGAGCTGCATCGACGAGGACGCAGCGCCAATGCTGCCGGCGTCGTATTCATCGGATGACACGACGCTGCTGGGCACAGACGACGAGCTGCTTGCGGAACGTTCGGCTGACTCGGGGCGGCCCTCAAAAGACGAGCTTTATTGAGAGCTGGGCACACAATGGCTTCTGGCGTGGCGTTTCGACGCGGTCATGGATGAGCCCTCAGGAGCGCCGCAGCCGCCGCCGCACGTCCCGCGTCGTCTGACTCCACACTTGTTGCTCCCTACGCCGTGCCCGACCACCTGGGCATCTGCTGGCCGCTGGATGATACTGCACGCGAGCAGCGCGCAGCTGGGGACGGTTCTATGCGGACCTGGGCGATACCGCGCGTGCCTAGCCGGTTCCGCACGCCCGACAACTCGCTGGCCATGCTGGCGACCGAGCAGCTGATGATGCGCAACGACAAGATTGTGTGTCCGCTCAAGAACCGCCTGCAGGAGACCAATCCGAAGCGCCAGCAGTTCGAGGAGTACGTGCGGGCCACGGGCAGTCTGCCGCCACCGGCCCGTCTCCAGCGACTTCACAAAGTCGCCGCTTCGCAGCGAGCTCTGAAGCGGCTGTTTCCCACGAGCTGGTCCCTCATTCTGCGGCCGCTGCTGCTGCCGATGCTGCTTGGGTAAATCCGAGTTTCACACTGACATGCTGCCGGAACTTTTGCCCCTTTCGCTCAAGCCAGGCGGCATGCACCTCCTCCCCAACCAAAACCCTTTTACACATGGACGCGAATCTGCATCCAGCACATCATCGCAAACTTGTATTTCACAACCTGGCATTCCCCCACCTCACTCTCTCAATATCTATTGTACCAACACATAAATCTCCTTCCCCCCTTCCTTGCAGTGGCCCACTGCCACACTGACAAAGGAAAAAAAAAAAGTGACCCTTCAATAAAACTGCAGTCAGCAGGCAAGAAAACAAGCCAAGCCAGCTCAGATGACGGTGGACAAATGTTCTAATTTGGGCAAGAGCGCCTTGGATGCGGCATGTGGACACTGAAATTGCGAACATGAGAAGGAAGCTAGGAATAAAACTTGATTTCGGAGACTTTCGGAGCACATCCGATCTACACATTGACGTCACGGGGAAAACAGCTGCCTGAGCCGCTCTCTGCGGGTCTGTGAGTGGGGCGAATGCGAATGCGAATGGGAATGCTGGCTCTCGACATGGTGATCTTCGAACCGCTCATCCTCAGCCTCGTCGCCGGTCGCGTCCTCTTCAATGGTGCGCCTGAACCGCCGGTCATTTGGCGATCTGTGCGGCGACTCGTACCCCTGGTCGTAGAACGCATCGTTGGGATTGGCCAGCCCAGCTGACCTTGCCGGCGCCTCAGTGGTGCGGGGTTCCTGTGCAACTGGCCGAGAGCGCGACGGCGAATCGTGGATGGACTCGTGGCAGTGCTTGCAAGCCTGGGCTGCTGATGGCGGGCGAGCTGGGCGGGGGCGGGCTGGCGGCGGCGTGGGTGCGCGAATGCTTCGTGGCCGGACAGCATCGCCACGGTACCCGTCGTGGACTATTTCAGTTGGCGGAACTGGGACGGCGACCGGTGGCTGGACGGAGCGGCGTGTGCGGCCAGTGATCATCGAGCGAAGCGAGCGTCTTGAGCCTTCTACAGGCTTGGCTTGCGGTCTATCCAGCCCGACAGTCATGGCCACGCACGATAGCACAAAAATCAGAATCCAGAACGCCAGGCCCATGCCAGCAAGCACCAGGAACGCCTTGCTGGCCTGACAAATGCCTACCAGTAGCCCGCCCTCTTCAATAACCGACTTGCCAGATGACAGGCCAAGCATTGTGAGGTTGGCACGGAGATGACGGAAGATGTCACATGGGTAGTGGATTGGCAGCGGGTTGCGGTAGGCAAAGCTGACGATAACGATCCAGAGCACTGAGAATATAAAGCCGAACAGGAAGAGCCCCGCAGAATGGAATAGGCAGGTGCAGTATTTGCCAGCGTGCGGTGTGCCGCGCACCAGCGCGCCTAGCATCAGGAAGAATGCAATGATGGTGCTAAAGATTGTGACGATATACGAGTACACAAAGGTCCAGTTGAGATGGATGTACCAGCCCGTGGCACTGTTTGTGTACAGGTGCTGGGCGACTAGTGCCCCAAATGTGCCCATTGAGGCGATTAGCTCAAATAATATTGCAGTGAATAACAGTGGGAATATCATTATTTAACAGAGTTGGTGTCTTGACGATTATGAGGGCATTGGGAAGGATGCCAAAATTTGTCGTGGCCGTGGCCCTGGCAATATGAAGGCTGTTTGCAACATCGCATCTCTGATACTTGCACGTAGTGTACTGGCCAACTGGTGTGTCTTGCTGCCTAGAATAACTGTTGTAAAACCATCTTTTACATTCCTCAACCGCCCATTTTGGGTAGTTATTTGTTTGCTGTCGCCGAAATACCACAACCGCTGGCACTGTCATCATGTGCAGACACACCAGACTTTGTGCATGCAGAAGCAGTATCGCCTGTGGGAACCAAGTGCAGCTAGATGTTTGCTTGATAGGTCGATGACATAGCCACAGCCAAGCATACTACTACCATCAGGCAGTACAGCGCGTCAAGCTACTGGGCACATCTGCATGGCTGGTGGTTTTTGCTGTCGCCGTTACATGGAAGATTCCAATAATCAGGATTAGAGTTTTGCAAGAAGCCAGGTTCGTCGTAATCCGACCCGGCAAAAACAATGGCCCGATTCTCGGAATCACAGCCATGGTGGCGGAGGACCGAACAGAGATCTTCACACCGACAGCTTTGATTCCCTCCCCCTCTAGCCAACCTCAAGTATGGAGGAAGCTTGGTTTGGGACTGAGATGACAGAAATGGTCTACTACGTCGTTGGTGGGAATTGGAGGATAGAGATGGACCGATAAGAGCGGACATTTCTCTCTCCGGCACAGACACCGTTTCTTGCTTGTAGACCACATGTGCATGAACCAGCTGACCAAGGCATATGCTGCCTGCCCCCTCGAGCTGTCCAAGAAATCAATATAGCGAGTAATTAATTGCGCAGCCTGCTAATTGTGCAGGCAGCACCGGTTCTGATATTAATCAAGCTGACCAGCTGCCCGGAATAAATGGCCTGCAGGTTCTTCTCATGAGCGTCCCCGCCTGCTTCAGGCTGGCAAACTAGCAAATAGTTATACCAGGATGTAGCAAAACAACGGCAGAATCAGGTAAATAGGGATAATCCCTCCTTGTCTTGGCTAAAAAAAAAAAAGCTACGAAATAGGATCCTGGCACATCTGCGCTATAGTTGGTTTGGATAAACCTGCTCGAAGCGACATTGCAAGCAGGACGCATCATTGAAAGTACGCTTAATGCCTGCCTCCGATGTCAATCAGCCATGCCTCACGCATCCATGTGAACCGCCGCCGTCCAGATGCAGCCTGGCACCGCATGTGGTCTTCATTTTTAATACCCGCACAAGTGTGCGAACAAGAACCGCCTGACACGTCAGATCATGCTTTTATGCCAGTTGTTGAGATTGGCTTTTGCTGAGCGGGATTTGCTGATGCAGCTGTACCCGCCCCGTAGATTGTCAATAGTAGCCGACTGCACCATGATTTTGCGCAGGAGCAGAACATGGGAGACAAACAACGGTGCTGTCACTCTGCTAGCTGGAGAAATATCAAAGCTAATGGTGCGGACGGAGCCAAGGCTCGAATGCAAACTGTATCCCATGCCCAAGCACAGATACTACGCGCACCATTGCGTATATAAATGAGCTGACATCCGGGCCTTCCTCTCATTCTACATCCTCCACCCCTCAACCCTCTCCACCTTATACCTCGATACCAACCAAAAGATCCTTCTGGCTAAGGACTTTTCCTTTTTGACGTCCAATTCTAAAGCTTCTACGTCTCGACTAATTACCAATCCTACCAGACCCGCCCAAAATGCCCTCTCCTATCCTTGCGACGGCAGCATTTGCAGCCCTCTCCTCGTTTGCCGCAGCCACCTACAGCTCCACCTGCTCTAATAACATGGTGACCTACTGGGGACAGAACAGCTGGGGTGGCAGCCACCTCAACGATCCTGCGAACTGGGAAAAGGACCTCGCCGAATACTGCCAAGACGACACTTTCGACGTCATCAACCTCTCTTTTGTGATAAACTATAATGTTACTGGCCTCCCCGTCCTTAATCACGCCGGCCACTGCGAGACCAAGTTCAATGGCACCAACACCCTGACATGCCCCGGAATTGGCAAGGATATCAAGACCTGCCAGGCCAACGGCAAGAAGATCGTGCTGTCGCTCGGCGGCGGTGGCAACCCTACTTACTCGCTCGGCTCATCGGCCGAGGGAGTCCAGTTCGCCAATACTGTCTGGAACATGTTCCTTGGCGGAACACACCAATATAGGCCATATGGTGATGCGGTCCTGGATGGTGTTGATCTGGATATTGAGTCTGGCGCTAACGGCGGCTATGCGGCGTTTATTGCGCAGCTGCGTACGTACTTTGCCAGCGCCTCCAAGCAGTACATCGTCTCTGCTGCTCCGCAGTGCGTCTACCCGGACTCGAGCCTTGGCTCTACCCTGAACACTGCCTGGATCGACAACAACTATATTCAATTCTACAACAACCCATGCAACCTGGTCAACATCAACAACCAGTGGAACTTTGACTACAAGAGCTGGGACGCGCTGGCAAAGAAGAACCCGAACCCGAACTCGAAGGTGTACGTCGGCCTGCCTGCTGGACCAGGCGCCGCTGGCAATGGGTACATTGAGCTCAACACGCTTCAGGCGGATTTGAAGCAGCTGTACACCAACTTCACCTCGACCTTTGGCGGTGTCATGCTGTGGGATGCATCGTGGTACTCAAACAACCAGGGGTACGTGAAGGGCCTGTCGAGCTGGGTCAAGGCAAACATGCAGTGCGGTACTACTCCTCCGACCAGTACTACTGCAGCGCCGACCACCACGACCGCCGCTCCTACCACTACTACTGCCGCACCCACCTCGAGTGCTCCGGAATCTACGTCCACCACTGCTAGCCCTACCAGCACCGTCGCCTCCTCAACAAGTACCACAGCCTCTCCGACTTCATCTTCAACGACAACCTCTGCTCCTGCGCCAACTTCGACCTCGGGAGGCGGCCCTGTCGCTGGTGGCCCGTGCTCGTCACAGGGAGCTGTCCAGTGCGCAGATACCAGTGGCAAGAACGCTAACTATTTTGCTTGTAACAACGGGGCGTGGCTCCAGCTGTCATGCGGTTCTGGAACTGCATGCTTTTCGTCAGGCTCGTCCATCTACTGCGACTGGCCGTCTGCTTGAATGGTTTCCTAACCCTCTGCTCTATTTTGCACACTACAAGTGCAAGCACTAGATAATGAACCGATGCAAAAACACTGATCTACCCACTTTTGAACCCACATACATGCGGTTTTATTGGCATTATCTATGCGGAATTGGCTATGTGCGTGGCTGCGCATATTGAACGGCTGCTCTGGTGGTGGTTACGCATTTCTCCAGCAGGGCCACTCTAGATTGTCCTCCTCATGCAGAGCTACTGTCGTTGTCCAATAGACTCGATCGGTTCTATTTTTTTTTTTTGCTCAATTTACTTGCATTTTACCCCACCGGCCATCAACCATAAGTTGTGGATCGAGCCGCCCTTGGTCATGCCAAGGCGCTGGCCGGGCGGTGGAGATGGAAACCCTTGAACTATTAACCTCGTTGATGAGTGCTCCATCTGTAAATGCTGGCGACTGATCGTTTTGCGGGGCTCTTGGGCCCTTCTTAACACTGGCGTAGCTTTGAAGTACGAGCCGGGGGCCTTGCATCACCAAATGTTCTTGGCTTTTGAACGAATCTGAGGGGTACCAACAATAGTTCAAAAACTGCATATTTCTCATACCAGACATACTAGGAGAGCCAGTGCCAGCATTTTTGCGGATGCTGCCTGCTGGCTGGCCGTGGCGGACCGCGGCATAACTTGGTTTGTCGACTCGGTTCTTGGGCCGGTGACTACGACATTGTACCCGTCGTTGTCGTCGGTTGCGTAGTCCTGGCTGTCGCCAGCAGTGCGCAGGCGGGCCAACGCATCTCTGTCCAACGTCGTAAACCCGACTCGCGTGTTGTCGACGTCAAACGAGATGGTCCGGTTCATGAAAAAGGGCAAGCCTAGGATCCACTTGTCTTTCGGTCCACCGACCTGGAACGCAGACATGCAGCCGTGCTCGGGCACACCGTCGCCCAGAATGTACTGGCTGGGCGAGATAGGAATCGTGATGTTGTTCTGACCATCTCTACCTGCTAGACGGAAGCGGAAGGTCGGCCCAGTAGTCGATACACCGCAGTCAACACCAAGACCGTTGTCTGACGCGCCGATTATGCGGTTGATGAGCTTGGCAACTGGCGACGGACAAAGGATTGTTGTGGTTCCCGAATCCAGCAAGCCGACACCACGTGCCTCGATCTTGAGCCGCTTGCGCGTGGGCAGCTGCAGCAAGTCAGCAGAACGCTGAGGTAGTGGTATGGGCAGAAACTGGGTGGTTTCAGCTGTCAGGTCGACATCGATTCCATAGACATTGACGGCCCAGAACGCCGGTTGTGTCACCTTGATCCATGTCGTTGTTGTTTCATTGCTATCTGGCGGTATACCAAGGTCGAGGCGGCCACCAGTATCACCAAGTGTGAAGCTGAATCGGTTTGCGTTGAGCTTTTGCTGATCAGCAAGCGCAAATAATGGCGGATCAAGCCCCTGAGTGGCCAGTGTCGGGAAGGCGAGGCCAAAGAGACCGTCGAACTGGGCGTCGAAATCGGGCGTCATCTCGACTGCCTCCCCGAACGATGCGTTTCTGATACTCATTGATCCCCATTGGAGGGTGTCGTGCGCAGTCTGGATCGTGACCATGCCAGTTCCATACTCAATCCCGATCTGGTTGGGTAGGCGGCCGCACAGCAAGGGTGCGTATGTAGATGATGCATTTGGGTTGAATTGGCTGTGTCGTGTGCAAACTGGGTTAGTGCATCTCGTGCTGGGAACCCACAGATCAGCCGAGCCCGTATCAAAGTTCACCCGGAACTGTTGTGGCGGAGAGCCGATCGAAATCATGCCCGAATAGAATAGCGTTGTGCTTGGCTGGTAGTCACTTGGGCTGGGTACTGTGTCGCGCCCGGCTAGTTGCGACAGTGGCACAGACAGAAACTGCTGATGCTTGACCAGTGCCCGTCGCCGGATACTATTCCGGTGTCGAACAAATATATCGCCCTTGCGCAGGTGAATCGATGTGTAGCCGTCGATTGCCGCTGCCATTGCTGGCAAGGCAAATATAGCCAGGAATGGTAGTTTAGAGAGCTTCATATGTGAGCAATTGGTAGGAGCAGAGATATGAAAAGGACCAGATGCAAGAAAACAAGCTAAACAGAGAGGAGGGCGCACATCATTTAGGCATTTATTGAGGCCAGCTTGCCGTTCAGAAGTATACAAAAACGCAGGCAGTAGCTAGGGCTGGGGTGCAACTGAAAATAGCAACAGTCGTGCAGGCTGCCCTTTATTACTGCCTGCTGTCAGCAACCAGTCTGCAAGTGGGGGTGACGCGGTCTGGAGAGCACTGAAGGGTATCAGTGTTAAAAATAGTGCACAAAGCATATTCTCGCGCATACATCATGTCAGTTCACACGGGAAGGGGGGAAATTCTTGTGTTTCGAGGATAGTATATTCGAATATTTCAGTTGATATTGTGATATCGCACTACTATCTAGTGGGAACTAGCGCTGGGGCTGGCGTTTGCGCTGGCGTTTGCGCTAGTGTTAGCGCTGGCATTAGCGCTGGCATTAGCGCTGGACTGCTCGTCAGCCTTGGACTGCTCCTCGATACCAGTTGTACCCAGAGCAAACACAACGCTGTCAGCGGCCCACTGGCCAACAGTCACATCACTCGAAGCCTCAGGGGCCAGGATAGCAAGTCGTACAGCAGAAACACCGCTCGATGAAGCCAGCTCCTTGACAGTAGTC